TGAGGTTTTTACCCACGAAAGCTTATGCCCAAATAAATCTGTTAGTCTTTAAGGTGCCACCAGACTCCTTGTTGTTTTTGTAGATACAGACTAACATGGCTACCCCCTGATACTTGACAGTGTAATGAGCTGAGTGGCTGGTGGGTTGGTTTAGAACCAAAATAAAACCAGATCCACCTGGGCAAGCCCCTGTCTATTGGGGCATGGTGCAGGGATCTGATTGGTTGATCAGGGCCTTAACTGCCCTTTCCCTTAAATGGAACACAGGAATTGCCAGACAGGATCAGACCCAAGGTCCGTCTAGCCCAGTGGCCTGTCTCTGACAGCGGCTAGCAGCAGATCCTTCAGAAGAAGGTGCAAGAAGGCAATTATGGAATAACCTGCCCCCTGGCAAATTTTCTCCTTGACTCCCATTGGTTAGAGGCTGGCTGATGCCCCAATGTAGGAGAGTTTCTATAGGGGCAGGGAGCATTTGGAAATGTCAGTCAAAAAATAAAAATGTTCCGAGTTCTTTATGTCTCATTCTCCTTCCCCAGGTTTATGGAGCCATATATCTTTGGCTGCCGCCTTGATCAGGACATTATAGACTTGGATCAGACGATGAAACACCTCCAGCTGGCTCTGAACTTCACAGCCCATGTCGCCTACCGCAAAGGGATCATCCTCTTCATCAACCGCAACCGTCAGTTCGGCCACCTGGTGGAGGTCACGGCCAGGGACTGCGGGGAGTACGCCCACACCCGCTACTGGCAGGGGGGCCTGCTGACCAATGCCCATGTCCAGTACGGGAGCGGGATTCGCCTGCCCGACCTCCTCATCTTCATCAGCACCCTGAACAACGTCTTCGAGCCGCACGTGGCCATTCGGGATGCCGCCAAGATGAACATCCCCACTGTGGGAGTGGTGGACACTAACTGCAACCCCTCCATCATCACGTACCCCGTCCCTGGGAACGACGACAGCCCCCTGGCGGTGGAGCTCTATTGCAAGCTCTTTAAGATGACCATTACCCGGGCAAAGAACAAAAGGAAGCAGATGGAGGCTTTGTATGGACTGCAAAACAAAGCGGACAGCAGTTAGATCAGCCTCGTGCTCTTACTAGCCCCAGTGCAAAATCTGCTAGCTCATCCATACCACGATGGTGTCCAGTACTCAGCAGGTTACGTACCAGGCGTCTTTGACTTGCCGGCAACATGCACAGGGCTTGGGAGGGAGGGAGGAGGGGATGGGAATGCTGGCTCCCACCCTAGCTCTGTACAGGTCTGATCCAGCTCCCATTGAAGGCAGTGGAAATATTAACATGAACTTCAATGAGAATTGGATTGGGTCCTAGGAGAAAGGTCCCTGGCCTACTCCTGAGGAGGAGATCCCATGGCGATGGCAGCCCCCGCTCTGCTGTCACACATCTGGGCTCAACTGTGATTCTTAACTTGCCAAACAAAACAAAAAAAGGTGAGTGGATTTGTCAATGAATATCAGTCACCTGTGGGAGCCACTTCCCCCCCAAAAGGAATTTCATCCAGAGCAACTAGAACTATGCAAGACTAAATAAGATAGGTATATCCAGTTTGGTTGCTTGTATTTGCCTCTTTTTCAAGGAGGAATGTGTAAAGCATCGGTCTTGTGATTTCCCTCCCCCACCGTCCTTAAACTTACTGTGATCTGAATTTAACTGTTAAAGTTCCCATCCCCTCTCCTCCCACTTCTCTTCTCCCTAAGAAAAAATAAAATATTCCTTCTTTTGCACATGCAAGTGTGTTTTATTAAATGAAAGCTGAGAAATCCCTGACAAAAATATAAACTGACTGAATGTCATTGGTTGGGGGAGAGAAAAGGTGTCTTACAGCCTAATCAGTGCCAAGTCTGAGTCAGGTGTTAGGTCATAGGCTGAGTATGAATTGCATCATATGATCCTAAAATACGGCTGGTAAAATCTCTACTCTTTCAAGTGTCCCTATCAGCTTGAAATCTGGTGAGTTTAAAAAACAAGTTAAGTAGTTTCAGGTTGTACACTAGCCCCTGAGTGACCCAGGCCCATTTTTGTAGCTTGAAAATCATAAGAATGGCCATACTGAGTCAGACCAATGGTCCATCTAGCCTAGTATCCTGTTTCTGACAGTGGCCAGTGCCAGATGCTTCAGAGGGAATGAACAGAACTGGACAATTATTGAGTGATCCATCCCATTGTCCAGTCCCAGCTTCTGGCAGTTGGAGGTTTTAGGAACACACAGAGCATGGGGTTACACCCTTGACCATTTTGGCTAAGTGCCACTGATGAATCTATCCTCCATGAATTTATCTAATTCTTTTTTGAACCCACTTACATTTTTGGCCTTCACAAAATCCCCTGGCAATGAGTTCCACAGGTCGACTCTGTGTTGTGTGAAGAAATACTTCGTTATGTTAGTTTTGAAGCTGCTGCCTATTAATTTCATTGGGTGAAACACCCCCCCCCACCCCCACCCTGCCGGTTCTTGTGTTATGGGAAAGGATAAATACTTGTTCACTTTCTCCACACCATTCATGATTTTATAGATCTCTATCATTACCCCCTCCCCGCCCCCAGTCATATCCATATTCAAGGTATGGGCATACCATGGATTTATATAGTGGCATTATGATATTTTCTATTCTATATTATCTATCCTTTTCCTAATGGTACATAATGTTGTTAGCTTTTTTGACTGCTGCTGCACATTGAGCAGATATTTTCAGGGGACTGTCCACGATGACTCTGAGATCTCTTTCTTGAGTGGTAACCGCTAATTTAAACCCCATCATTTTGTATAGTTTGGGTTATTTTTTCCATTTTGCATTACTTTGCACTTATCAACATTGAATTTTCATCTGCCATTTTGTTGCCCAGTGACCTAGTTTAGTGAAATCACTTTACTCTTTGCAGTCAGGTTTGGACTTAACTTCTCTTGAGTAATTTTGTATTGGCTGTAATTTTGCCACCTTTTCACCTACTTTTCCAGATCATTTATGAATATGTTGAATATCATAGTCCCCAGTACAGATCCTTGGGGGGGACCCTGCTATTTACCTCCCTCCATTGTGAAAACTGACCACTTGTTCCTACCTTTGTTTCCTAATGTTTAGCCAGTTACTGATCCATGAGAGGACCTTCCCTCTTATTCCTTGACTGCTTAGTTGTCAAAGATTTTCTGAAAGTCCAAAAATACTATGTCAACTGGATCACCCATGTCCACATGTGCGTTGACTCCCTCGAAGAATTCTAATAGATTGGTGAGGCCTGGTTTCAACTTTACAAAAACAATGTTGACTTTCCCCCCTCATATCGTATTGATCTATGTGTCTGATCATTTTGTTCTTCACTATAGTTTCAATCCATTTGCCTGGTACAGAAGTTAGGCTTACCGGTTTGTACTTGCCAGAATTGCCTCTGGCCCCTTTTTTAAAAATAGGTGTTACACTAACTACCCTCCAGTCATCACACTTTCACTCCTTTTTGGGTGTTTTGTTTTTCTGTTGCTGAAAGATCCACACAAACACTAGAGGGAATTGGCTGTAAAGGGGAAATGACGCTGTATTTGGCAGCATTTTATATACTCATACTTAGGGTGACCAGATGTCCCAATTTTATAGTGAGAGTTCCGATATTTAGGGCTTTTTCTTATATAGGCTCCTATTACCCCCAACCCCCTGTCCTGATTTGTCACACTTTCTGTCTAGTCACCCTACTCATACTCAAACTAAACTAACGGGAAATATTTTTTTCTCCAGTCTCTTCCCATCACAATGATTGTAAGTGTTGCTTGTAACAACAATAACTAAAGCATTATCCAGACAACAGTGTGATATTTTTAAAGATTAGAGCATTCCATTAAAAGCTTTTATGTTTTGTTTTTTATGTTATGACTCTATTGCTTTATGTGGAAGGAAAACATGGGTGCTGAAATTGAATAAGGCCCCAGTTCACCAAAGCTCTTATGCTTGTGCTTAACTTTTTAGCTTAACATTGATTTCCCATTGAACGACTCACATGATTAGGTGCTTTGCTGAAGTGCAGCCAACGTTATGAAAAGACTGGGTTCTCGGCTTAGCATTTGAAACAATCAGTTTCTTTCAACACCAGTGGCAAGATCTGTGTTTGACTTAGAAACCACTAATCAAATTGTGCTTGTCCATGTGCCATTGCTTTTTAAACCAGCCTCCCCGTTCATTTCAAGAGGAAAGTGTGTTTAGTAATGGCTGTTACCTATATGGTCCTATGTATGTGCACACCTTGAATATGGAAATGGTGCACAGGTCTTACTCAAGCTCACCAGGCTAGCTTCCCGTTTGCTTGCAGTCCATCAGCCTCATTGCAGCTGTCTCCTTATATGCATGCACAATGAGATATTCCAAGGGTAAAATCACTTCCTGGATAGGAATGGGTCTCTAATCCAGCCTTACCCCACTTCTCGTTCCTCCCCAAGGCTGATGATCTCCCCATTTCCCTTCCTTTCGTCCCCTGCCTTTACAGACCCCTTTCCAGTGTTGCCAGCTCTTGAGATAGTTGGTGTTTCTCTTAAAGCTCCATCTCCTGGAGTCATGGGATTCATTGAGACTCTCGCCATTGTAGGTTTTTTTTTTTTTTAAAGGAAACCTGTGTGTCTAGCCTGCATGGCTGGGGAAGAAAGCTGGGAAATGTGAGCTGTATAGGCTCAGACACCAGGAGGAGCAATAAAAAAACACATGCTATTTTGAATGTATTTAGCTGTTGAACAGAGCTAGGCTCATGCCTTTTGAATGCTAGAAGTTGGCCATATTGGCCCCCCGTTTCTTTTTGCCTTGCCCCCCCCCCTTCCCCATGCTGATTCTCCTCCTCCCTTCTCTGCTTCCTCCCCCCATTCCTCTCCTCCCCAGGCTGACCCCTCCCTGGGCCCCTGAAGCCGACTCGCTGCACTTCACGCTCCTGTCCAGCAGGGGGAGTGTGTCTGCGACCACGAGGCAGCTGCGGGCCGCGGAGGACACGGTGTTTTGTCCCTCTAGGGCTCCCGTCGGGCAGCTCTATATAAGCGGGAGGCGCGGGCCTATAGGCCCCTTTTTCTCGGCTAGCTGCAGAGCAGCGGTAAGTGAGGGGCGGCCGGGCTCCGCCCTCGCCGGACTGTGGGGGGGCTCGGCACCCCGCACCCCAGCCGGGCCCTGCCTCGGACCCTCCCCTCCTGGAGCCGCTCAACGGTCACCCGCGGGGCTGGGCCCGGCTGCCCCCCCAGGCCCGTATTCGCGCCCCCCCCCGTGTATCTTTGGGGGGGGGTCTTCCCGGGGTTCCAAGCTCCCCTCCCCCCAGCCTGCAGGGTAGACACGTCCCCCCGAGCCCCGCCCCCACCTGCCCCCGCTCGGGGAGGGGGAAGGGCCTGAGAAGCGCGGGGGGGGGGCCCTCTGACACCGGTCCCCAGCTCCTGCCCGGCGCTTTCGGGCAGCGGGTCGCAGGGCGGCTCGCGCTGTGCTCCCCCTTCCGCAGAGCGCGGTGGGGTGGGGGGCGGCGGGCGGGTCCGTGGTTATGGGGCGGGGGATGTTGGGCTATGGAGAGCTGTTGTGGGGGGGGGGGGCGGTGTTCTAGTGGGAACGTGGCCCGGATCAGCCGTAGTGAGTACCCTGCAAGTGATGTCTGGGAGCGCTTTGTGTGCACCGATCTTGCTGGTTCCTTCCTCTTCAAATCAGCCATTTTAAAGGCATCTTGTGTTGTGTTGAAGCCTTGTACACCAGCTAAGGCCCTACCAAATTCACAGCCCTGAAAAATGCATCACAGACCATGAAATCTGGTCTCCCTGTGTGACATTTGTGTGTGTGTGTTTTTGTCCTGTATTATACAGATTTCACGGGGTAGACCAGCGTTTCTCAGATTGGGGGTCCTGACCCAAAAGGGAGTTGGGAGTGGTCACAAGGTTATTTGCCATTCTTACATCTGTGCTGACTTCAGAGCTGGGTGCCCGGAGAGCGGGAGCTGCTGCCTTCAGAGCGGGGCGGCCAGAAAGTGGTGGCTGCTGGCTGAGGGCCAGCTCTGCGGGCAGCAGCGCAGAAATAAGGGTAGTAATACCTTACTGTACCATCCTTCTGCGCTGCTGCTGGTGGCGTGCCCATTCTGCATTCAGAGCTGGGCTCCCAGCCTGCAGTTGCTGCTCTCCGGCTGCCCAGCTCTGAAGTCCGCATCGCTGCCAGCAGTAGTGCAGAAGTAAGGGTAGCAGTACCACCACACACACATACCCTTACAATAACCTTGCAACACCCCCCTCCACACACAGCTCCTTTTTGGGTCAGGATCCCTACAATTATAACACTGACATTTCAGATTTAAATAGCTGAAACTATGAAATTTATGACTTTTAAAATCTTACGACCATGAAATTGACCAAAATGGAGGGATAGCTCAGTGGTTTGAGCATTTGCCTGCTAAACCCAGGGTTGTGAGTTCAATCCTTGAGGGGGCCCCTTAGGGATCTGGGACAAAATCAGTACTTGGTCCTGCTAGTGAAGGCAGGGGGCTGGACTCGATGACCTTTCAAGGTCCCTTCCAGTTCTAGGAGATAGGATATCTCCATTAATTATAATTATTATTAATTTGGTAGGGCGCTACTTATGGCTTTGATTTTCAGAGATGCTGACCACTGCCCAACTTCTACTGACTTCATGGGAGTTGGCAGTGCTCAGCTTTTCTCAAAATCAGACCCTGCGTTTCCTGCAGATAAAAATTTTAAAGTAATCTGGCCATGCATCTGGAATTGTTAGAGGGGAAATTGTTGTTTTCAAAACTCTCTAAAGCTCTTTTCCTTGGAAATATTTATTTGATTATGCCCTCTTTTCCTTGTGTAATATGTCATGCATCCAGACACAAGTGAACTGCCAATCCTGTGCTTTTATTCCCAAGGTTTTAAAGGAAGGTTGGGACGAGGGGTGAAAGTGAATATTTTAGAAATTAAAGTGGGGAGAAGATTTTTGGGGACTAAGGTAAATTGAGGTGGGCTTTCAGGCAAGGGAATTCTTGGGTGAGGAAAGAATAAAATTTAGGGGCTTGTGTGTGAGGCAGCTGTTTGATACTCAGTGCCTTTTTTCTGATTTTCTTTTTCCTGTTTAGCGAAAATATATAAAGAGAGTGTGGCATGAAAGGAGGCTTGATCCTAAAAATGAGACACAGGGTGAGTGAATTTAGGCCTAGTACAAAGTTATCTAAGTATGGTGGTCTATGAAACACGTTGTGCTGGCTAGCAGAGAGCTTGTGTTAGCTGCTACTCATTATTTGCAGCTGCTAAATTACATGGAAAATACATGAAATGTTTTCCTAATGTTACTTTTCCTGTAGGTCCCAGAGGTATGCTGCATGATTACAAATGGGAAGGGGCCTGTCCATGAGACCATCTCTGTATTAAAACATGACTCGTACAATGGAAGACATTGAGCACCCTCACTTAGCAATTAGGATATAAAGAGTTGTGCATCTACTTTAGAATCAGTGACATTATTCCACTCTAAGCACATATGGGTTTGATGTAGAAATTATTGTATGATGTTCTTTGGCAGTGTTATGCAGGAAGTTAGATTAGGCGATCTAATAGTCCCTTCTGGCCTTAAAAATGTATGAATCCTAAAATCTCACACTGTAACTAGCTTTGGGGAAAATTCCCTTGAGAGAGAGCAGTATGAGGTGTTACATATGCACACAACAGTGCATGAACAAATGGGGGTGTAAAGAGGTTGTTATAAGGCTTTATTGATGTCCTGAAATGTTTTCGTTTTATTGACTGCATCAGAATCTTCACCAATGTAATGAAATCCTTGCGATTTGCCATTTATGTATGCATCTTTTGACATTAGATAGGTCCCTGCCCCTGGTTTTACAATGTGGCTACCGTGTGCCATCTTTGCTCATTGGGTGGCAGAGAGCGAGGGGCTATGTCTGCACTCTGTGCTCTGAAACCCATGAGCACTCAGAATGATTAATAGCCTGACATCATTTATAAAATAGACTTGCTTTATTGGCGGCACATGAGAAACTGGATAAACGTGCCCTAGAAGTCTGACTTCCCGTTTTGAACTTAATTGATCAAAGAATACCTTGTACTACAGTTGGAAAGCACTACTAGAAAGTTTGTGGAGCATTGTCTGGGTTTATCTTTTGAAATTATACGATCCACTCAGTAAATATTCCTATACCCACAGTTGGGAAACTGAGTAATGGAGAGAATATGATTTACCTATGGTCATATAACAAATTGGTGGCACTGCTGAGAATAGATCCCAGAAGTCCTGACTCCTAGTCTACAGCTCTAGCCACTTGATTAATTTCTCCATAATCTCCTTCTAATCCAATTCTGCGGTCAGGTCCATCAAGGGAGACCTTGTAAAAAACCACTCTGCTCTTGCTGTGGGACTGGTGGAAAGTAAAATTAATTGCAAAGATGATGTACATGTTTTATCCTCATAAGGTAAAAAAATGGTTATATTCAGTTTGGGTGTAGTGCTTAGTCTTCCAAACTGCTCTCAGCCACACGCTGATACCCAAATAGTGGGCCTCTGAAGTGTGTGTCTAAGGGTACGTCTATACTTACCTCCGGGTCCGGCGGTAAGCAGTCGATCTTCTGGGATCGATTTATCGCGTCTTGTCTAGACGCGATAAATCAATCCCGGAAGTGCTCGCCGTCGATGCCGGTACTCCTGCTCCGCGAGAGGAGTACGCGGAGTCGACAGGGGAGCCTGCCTGCCGCGTGTGGACCCGCGGTAAGTTCGAACTAAGATGCTTCGACTTCAGCTACGTTATTCACGTAACTGAAGTTGCGTATCTTAGTTCGAAGTGGGGGGTTAGTGTGGACCAGGCCTAAATGGGTATAATTACTGCTCTAGTTATTTTCTGTTTTTCTTTTTGCTCTTTTTACAGGGGGGCAAATGTGAATACTGCAAACGCAGGAGGTTTTCTCCTAGAGCTGAGGTGAGCATCATTTCATGCAGGTTCACTACGTGCCCCTAAAGGCGTTGCAGATATGGTTGCTGTGCCATGTTTGTGTCATCAGGTGGCAGAGAGGAAGAGGCTGTGTCTACGCTCAGTGCTCTGAAATCATGAGCACTCAGAATGATTAGCAGCCTGACATTTTGTTTGTTTTCTTTACATTGTTTAATATAAATGTAGTAGTCAGTGAAAGGTGCTGGATTCTGAGTTGTGGAGATAGAAGTTTTCTTTCAAGTGCAGGTATCGCAGGAGCAGGGACAGTTTCTTTGCCCTGTCCCAATGTGTTCACCTCTGGACAAGAAGGTAATTGGTCTCTCTACCCATTCCATTGGGGCAAATTGTGGTGATGCCTTTTGCAATGTGACACTTGTCCTACATTGGACTGACACCAACTAACCTATTGTGCATTACCAGCAGATAGCTGTTTAGCGGCTAACCATTTTTAGTTGCAGTACTACCAGTTGGAGCTGAATTTGAATCCGAGCCTAGAATTGATGAGTATTGTATTCCACCAGTACCAGTCCCCTTCAATCATTTGGTATCCCCTGATGATGTTGGTTCTAAAGTAGCGTAAAGAGGATGAACAAGGTCTTTTGTGAAAATTCACTGTTTTGATCAGCAAGAGTGGGGAGCTCTAACCTTGTTCATGTACTGTTGTGACCTGGTGTTTCCGTGAACTGCAATTTACTCAGTATTTGGCGATCTTTAAAATTATAGGTGGAACTGCCCTGATATTTCACTCTGCAGACTGGGATCCTTTAATGGAAATAAATGCCCATCTAGCACATTATTCCCCCCATCCCCCCATTTGTTCAAGAACATTGTTTGCAGAGGTGAGCCTGAATCCAAACTCTGCTTCTCTGAAATATCCTAGATCCAAACATCCAATCCTTTCCATCTCTCTTGAATTCTAATTCCTTTCCATGTCAAGTTTTAGAATGATTATAATTGCTGTACAATGTGTTTTGTCTTTTTGGGCAGAAGAATCAAAAGATCCCATGGTCCAAGAAGTCTGCATCCTAGATGTGAGGTGAGCATGGAGACAGTGTATATTCTGACTAGTACTTCCATATACCAGAGACCATCAGCTAAGCTCTTGTCCAGACTAGGAATTAGAATGTGTTTGCTAACCATGTTGACAGCCTAGAGTGTAGACAAGACTGTGTGCCTTTAACACATGTTAAACTGACGTGTTAAACACACAGCCTTGTCTACACTAGCCTGTTAGTATGTGTTGTCTAGACCAGAATTTGGAAGTAGTTAGCTAAGTCCTTGATGTACAGCTCTGCAATCAAATGTAGATATAAGCTGCAAAATGGCAGGTATTTGCATCGCTTTAGATTGCGGAGAGATGGTGGGAGGGAGATGAGAGCTGTCTCAGAGGAGCTGCTTATGAAATTGAGCAGCAGTTTTGAGTTTTCTAAAGCCCCCTGTTTTGCACAACCGTAAGTGGATAGAGGGGCAATTATGTGTCGATTTCAGTCTCATGGTTGAGATTTCTTTTTTGTTCCTGCTTTGTTTTTATTGTGAAAGAATCGCTACTTCTCTTCAGCATCCTGTGTGTTAATAGTCCCATGCCCCTAGAGGCATTACACATGTGGCTGTCATGCCATGTGTGTGTCATTAGGTGGCAGAGAGGAAGAGGCTGTGTCTACGCTCAGTGCTCTGAAACCTGTGAGCACTCAGAATGATTAGCAGCCTGACATTGTTTCCAAGTATACCTGCTTTCTCCAGAGGATTGGTGAAAGATGGCGCAAATGTCCTTTGAAAGGCAGTTAAAAGCACACTAATTTTAGCTGCATCAGGAAAAGGCCCTACATCCTTGTATGCAAGGACAAGTAGAAGTGACTGTTCTATTCTAAGGAACTCCTCAGTCCTATGCTTGCCTTTCAAACTGTCTTCTGTGGCCTTGGGGAAATTGCCACTTGATGTCAGTTCTGCTATCTCTAAATTGGAGATAACATTTTAATACCCCCTCATGAAGTTTTTTGAGGGTTATACTTTTAAAGCACTTTGAAGACAAAAAGCATCATGTAAATGCTAAGAATCTGGAATGAGAGAGTGACTTTCCAGTTTATCTAATGCCACATGAAGAGTTCTCCCAGTATACCTATAGCAGTCTAATTATGCAGCTGTAGTTTTGCTGCTTAATTTCCCATGTAGACAAGCCGTAAGTAATGCTTCTATTTAAAATGTTAATCCATTAGCTTCACTTCTGGGTTTGTGAGACTAGGCACACTTGTTAATGAAAGAGCAAAGAGATAAATTCTGGTTATTTATGAATTTAAGTAGAAATATTTGTGGCTATTTTGTTGGCATGCAGCATGGTTGAATGTATAAGGTTACACAGTATCCAACAAGGGGGGTAAGCAAAGGATGTATGAATTGTAGGAACATTACTGAGTTCATGCAGTGCCTGCATGGAAATAAAAGAACAGTTCAATGGGTTTTACATTTGAATGCATAATTTTAAAATAGGGAGAACTGAGAAGTATTTTAAAATGCTTTGCAAATGTTTGATTTTCTGTCTCCTATTCACAGTTGCTCTTGAGGAGGACAGCACTAATTTCCTTTGAAATGGTATAACATAAATGCTGTTGAAGGTACGTATTATGGCATCCTTCGCACTGGAATCTAGTATTCCAGGCATGACATCAGTTACCACAACTGCTGGTGCCAGTGAGTTGGAGCATAAAAACTGATGTTTAAGGGACATCATGGTCAGGTTATTTTAAAAAAATCATATTTATAAAAGAAAATGTCCGTATCTATGTCACTAATAAACTGTAAGATGCTTGAAAATGAAAGAAGGGCTTAAAATGTAATTTACCTTCCATAATTTTTGCTGATTTCCCCTCCCCTCTTTTACTGTCCCTAATTTAGATTGGACAATGAAATTAGATTGGTAGTTTCACTTTCTGGTTCTCTGAAGCACTGTGCTTATGCATATGTTTAGGTTACGTAGGCTGAAGGGGATTTTTAAATTCAACCTGTAAACTATTTTCATGGAATTAAAAACTTTGAGTACATTTCGATTTGTACCTTATATTTCTACAACATTCATTTTGGATCTAAGCTCCCAGACCATCTACCGTTAATTTTGAGCAATTATTTTTTCCTACATTATGTCCATCTTTGTTTTTTAAGCCTTAAAGAAAAGCCCAGTGACCATGGAAGGCAGTCCTATAATGCATTCGTTATTTAATTTAGAACAATCATGGTCATACATCATTGTCCACTGGGTTTGGGCTGGAACTTTTTTCCTGGCTAATGTAGGAAACTGATAGTCTGTTAGAGCTCTCACATTTTGTTTTATACGTACATTTTAATATTTGTAAGCACTATAAAATTCATGTGCACACAAGCAGAACTACATAACTTTCATCATAATTACTGATGACAGCAACTACCTTTGAAACCAAATTGTTTCAGATGTTTGTGTGTTAACACTGCTTAGCCCTCTGGCACAGGGCAGGTCCATCACTAGTGTGTCAGCATTGTGGAGCCATATTAGCCTCTTAAGTTCAGATAGATAAAGTAGATGTTTGCTACTTCACTTGGCAAGGCTACGTTTTTAAATTTTCCTTTCACCGTTGCCTGCTAATCAGTTACTGCCCCGTGGAGACATAACTACGACTGCAGTGTTGTCTTTATGCCAGAAGGAGGCAGACAGGAAGCATTGGCCGCTTTGAGTCTATATCCTTAAAGAATGGATGCAGACATTTACAGTGGCTGAACAATTTATTAATTTGGGGAGGAAGCGTGAGGGGGCTGTCTGTTTTCTTTGCATCAGACTGTTCTGTAGAGATTGGGTTTGTGTTAAGGTTTTTTAAACAACCATTTCAACAAATGAAAATCACTTACCTTTTAAAGTAATCCGCATGTTTAAGGACTGTTTGGTTTCAAATTAAATTGGTCTTAATGCATTAATATAGCAATTAACTTGTAATACAAAGTTATTAAAGCATTTCTCTCAAATGTCTCCACAACAAAATTATGCTAAATCCAGTAGACACATTTGCTAAAGAACTTTTAACGCTGATTGTATGTTTCCACACGTCTGTTTGCAAAATCCTTTCAAACACTGCAAAAGCATTCATCATATGTCACAAGTTTGTAATAAAACAGACGTTAATTCAGATATGTTAAAGGAATAGATCAGCTAAAAGAATACGCTTTCAATATCCAATCCAAACTCTGTGCAGAAATTCAGTGAAGTCCTTTTATAAGAGAGGAATAAACTTAAGAGTGCATCCAAAGGTGAAATGCTTTGATCTGATTTAAAAAAAAAAAAAAAAAACTTTAAAGGTGCAACATGGCTTGTAAGTTTTCTACTGAGTTTATATGTTAATGCATCTGCAAAGAAGCTTGACCTCCAAGCTAATGAGCTGTTAGGGAGCAAAGATATAAACATGTTGTAATAATTGTGCAACACCTATGCCATCTCGGGGGTATAGTGCAGATAGCCCTCCACTGTATTGGTGTTGTAAGGTGACTGAAGAGGAATAGTCTATGGCCAGACTGAGCATTCTAAAACTCCTGAAGGCTTTGACTAATAGCCTGACAAAATTTGGCAGTGCTGAATGCTGGATAATGTCCTCATTAAGTGGGCATTAGAGGGGCCAAAGGTACCATTAACCAAGTGAATAGCTGGTGGCTGTAAAATGAGCCATTTAATTGAGAAAAGGCACTGCCCGATAGCAGTGGCTTCTTAAAAGAATGTTAATAAGGTTGAAGTGGATTTCCCAACATGTTAATAGTGCTAGTTAATAATTCTCTTCCCAAAGGCAGACAGCAATCCAAATATGGACTACACCTTTCTGGGGGACTCATCCATGGTTCTGACTTTCAGCCATTGAAAATACCAACCTTTTAAAGTAAGACATGTTTTGAAAGAAAAACCATTGTTCACATTGACTCATACATCAGAATCTAGAACCAAGTCTTTACCATTGCATATGTTGCATTTAAATCACAAATATTCAAGATGTAAATATTGGGGAAAAATAAAGCGCTTTTGAGACTGCCATCTATCTAACCATTCATACCCCATGTGAGGAGAGATTGGGGGGGTGGAGTTATAGCATAGCATATTGAAAGCTGTGCCAGAAGGAGGTCAGTAGTAAAATGGTAGCCAATTAAGAACCAAGATAATTAAGAGTGGAAAAAAGAAATGATCTGCATAATTACAATCTGAGATGTTGAGCAAAATTTAAGATAATGGCTCTTTTTGGACTAACTACACAATTAAGTAATGGTCTGACTCAAACCAAAGAATACAAAGAAATTAAGAGATTAGGCTATTGCTCTAGTTACAGCTCACTGGCTAGATATTGCATACAATACGTTATGAAAGTCACTGTTCCAAGACCTGGACACAGCTAAATGAGTTCAAGAGAAACTAAATCCTCTGTTCCACTATGTGCTCTCTAGCTGGCAGTGAGGAAAATACCTTCCTAAGGATTAAACAGAGGAGCATGGAAACCTCAGTTGAGTTCAATGTTACTGTATCAGGTATTTATATGTAATTTCCTGCAGATGTAATTAGCATCATGAGACACTGCAAATAGGTAGTAGGTTAGGACTTCAACACGTTTTGATTTAAGCACTCCAGCAGTGTGAGGGTTGCAGTTGTAAAATCACTATAGCCATGTGGTGTCAGGCCTTGGAGGGTCTGAGTTTGAGAGAATGAAAGCTCCAGTCTCGACACAAGTGTTAATATGGAACAAACAATAGTTTGTGGAACTGTCATATGATTTCACTTCAAGTTTTTGTTTTTTTGTTTTTTTAAATTCATGTACCCCCACCAACATCTTGAACTCATGAAAACAGGAATATGATGGAAAAGCTATAAGAGACAAACTTGGAGGATTTTAAAAAAAACTTGGAAGAGTTGAAATATTACTGATATAATGAGAAACTTAGTAAACTGTCAAGAAGCACGTGTATTAAGAAAGGTTAAAAATGTGCATTGTTGCATATTCTAAATTAAACCTAAAACCTGTCTTGAGACCCAGTTTAGCTTATGCTGCCTTTACTTTTTCTTCTAGGGTTGTCTTAGAATTCATACTTACTATATATGGCAATAATCTCTTCATAAATATTGCTATCGTTTGGTTTCTGCATCAGGTTCGCTTATCAGTTGCCATGGGCTTTTACCTGCAGCTTGTGGCAATGGTGTTATTATCTGAGATGGGTTCTTGTGTCAAATCTTATTACTCAATATGCCCAGAAACTACTACAACTCGATAATATTAGTGAAATTAGTTGCCAAAGGAGATGAAGTAATTTGCATAATAGCAAAGTAATAAAACCTTAGTCAATAACTAAGGCTGGGTCCAATCTGTTGGAGTGCAGCTGAGAATGATAAATCCTTGATTGCAAATGGTTTTGGGGAAAAATCCTTCCTTTGGTGCAGCTCAGTGGCATCCTGGGTAACGCTCTGTTGCTATTGGAGACCCAGTTTGAATACCAAGAGCCAAAATCCAAGCTAGACTTCATAAGGGTGTCTGAATAGCTGCATCTTCCTACTGAGCAGCCATAGGAAGGTGTAAGTTAAAGAAAGTGAGAGTTGGAGCAGGTGCCGGACTGCTTAATTTAGCCTCGGACATCCTTCTGTTATTGATCCTCCCTGTACATCCCTATTGCAGCACCTCCGCATAGAAATTACACTCACATAGATTCTCAATCTCAAGCCTACTTGCTGACATAATCATGCAGTTTAGTTTTGGCTCTGATTGATACGGGCTTGGACCTGCTGTGAGGTTAGCACACACCTTTTAGTTTTGAGGTGGGAGGCAGAGAAAGAACCTTGCATTGCTCACCAGTAGCATCTGCTCATTGAGATTTGCTATTGATGCTTCGTTCCTCTGCAGTTGGAAGGAAGGTGGCTACAAGTTGGCTTTACAGTGGTGATTAGGGGGGAACGTGGGAACTGGCAGAGGACTCTGAGGGATGCAGAAGACCCTCCCAGCAAGAAAGGATTGGAAAAAAGCCCTATGGCTTGCTAAACTCAAATGATTAAGTCTTTAACCTTTTTCCTGAGTGACCCATATCCTGAAGCTGATGGTTCAGTGTCGCCCAGTAACCCTATGCAAAAATGGAATCCCTTGCTGTGGACAAATCACGAGGTCGTGAACGGCTTCTTAACCCTGTGTCCTCTTTGTTAAATGGGCCCTGAGTATTCTTTACTGGAATGAAATTCAGCTCGGTGCATGCACAGAGCCATATTCATGACTTAAATGCATTGTCAAAGAGATTCATTGGGGTTTACAGGTTGCATAGGGCCTCCTGCTAGGCCTTCAGTGCTGGGATAAATTTTACCCACCGAGAGTCCGTATTGCTCTGGACTAGTAATGTCCACCTACCACTGTTCTTGGGCATGGAGTGGTTAAAATGTAAGCGCCTTTCGAATTCTTCATTTAGCCATTGTAATGACTTTCCTGGAAAACTGGGTTTCATTTTATGGAGCTGTTTTTCTTTGAGAAATGAAATTCTCTGAATAGTCCTTGAGTCATAACTGACTCGGTTCAACATCCTTGGTTCATTGGCTACAGGGACAAGATCATCTTGTTGCCAATCAGAACAGAGACGTATGTTCATTTTAAATGTGTAAAGTACTCAGATGCTGTACCACAGTGATCAGCAAGGTCTTAAATGCAGGGACTGATCAGCTTCTATCTTTCCCCTAGAGCCACAATCAGAGGTGTCAAACCAGACGTGCTTGAGGAGCAGTATGATGTACCTTCCTGGGCTACGGAAGTATTGCAATGTCTAGCACTATATGAGGACGGCATTTATTTGAAGTTCTAATTCTAATATGCTGGGGCACTTTGTTTGCAGATGACACCTGTAGGTTTGTGTTTTCTAACAAACCTGGCAGCAGCAAAAGAAACCATTTGGGGTCTTTGCACTTGAAGTTTGCTAGATATATCTTCAGCCTCTGCCATGCACTGCCTCAAAGTCACTGCAAGCACTACAGACAGTGAATGTGAATATAATATGCGGTGATGTAAATATATTCTTTGCAACTCTAAATGTTCTCTGTAACCTGTTTAGCCGAGGTGCAATAAAGAATAAATAGCTATTCTGATCTTCACATTGCTTCTCTGAGTGTTCCTGATAAACTACATTAAATGCTATATGCATGTATTTTCCAGGCATTTTCAGATTAGCAAATGGATAGTGAAACCATAAAGAGACTAATTTAAACTGACTTTCTTCCTGGCTTGGGGTGGGGGCTTCATTTAAGTGTCAGTCTAAAGAGAAAAGGGGCCTACCCAATTATCTAAAGTGAATTATATTGATGTATTCACAGTACCATAAGTAATATCCATTTGAACCATTCCAATTTTTTTATTTTTAAATTGCATTCAAAAAATTATTTAAATTCACTTCTGATTCAACTGGCAAAAGATGGAAAATCTGGCCCTTAACTAGGCAGAATCCTTAAAAACTCTTCAACCGAGTGCCCTTTTAATGCAATAGCATGCATGCCGTTCGGATTGTGGGCCTTGCCTTTGCATTTCTAGGTCCCTTTCTTTTCCTTTTTTTCTACCCACTGTAGTTTTATAGTATTTAACAAGTCAGAGTAACTTTTATGGACATAACACAATTAATCTGAAACCCCAAACAAACAAAATACCCCCCACAAAAGATGCTTAGCCTTCTGGTGTATGAATTACTGTGGTGCAAAGCTGGCCTGGCTCTGGGAAAGCAAGTTAAATCTAGCTTGCAGCCAGTCTAAAGCATTGTTGCCACTAAAACATTTTCCCCATAAATAACAGTTGAGTGGTGATGATGATCTTATAGAACTAATAGAAGGGACTGATATCTCTACTCCAAAGGGCTCATAACTTTACAGCTATGACATTAAAGATTGCTTTCAGAGGCCATATATCCCGTGGGACAGAATTTTTTTTTTCTAGTGATTGTACTTCAGATGTGCTTAACTTCACGAAGCTACTGTCGGATCACCAGCATGCAGTCTATCAGAATGGATAAAATTGTGCAGGGAATGGAGAACCAACAATAGTTTACATAAACTAAACACCCCGCTCAGTCCATGTGTTCAGAGCATCTTGAATGCTAAAGGATTATTATAAGTGAATACAAATGGAAACAAAGGGTCAGTACTTCAATAGCAGGTAGTGTTCAGACAGCCAAATGAGATTTGTTTTTGTTGCTTACTGAAAAATTGTCTGAAATTCCTTTTTTATTTTTATTTGGGGGCAGGGGAAGAGCAGTGGATTAATGGGGGATTAGCCTTTTACTTTTCCAGTCAAATCCTGTCAATTTTAAAAGTGCCGATTAAACCAAGGGGTGAATTTGGACCTGAACTGGTGTCTGAGCACTGTTTTTTCTCTTGATATGGGGAATACAGTATACCATGTAGCATATATGCCACTATGTTAATTTGGTTTGTGTCTGCCTGGGGACTTTCTGTATTTGTATAGGTCTGTTTTATCCTTATGTTATAGCCATCAGTGTTTTCCTTTAACTGTAATCATTTTCATACATTATTAAACAATGCAAATGGGTAATGGTGCGGTCCACCGGGTAATGCTCCTTCTCGCAAGCGTAGCAACTGTTTACACAAAACCTAGAATTTGCCAGAACCTACCTACGTGGTCAGGCAGTTCAGGAAGGTGTGTAACAACCAGAATCAAAGTGTGTGTATGTATGTGTGTGTGGGTGGGTGAGCTTGTCTATCGGCTCCCTACACTATGTCTGAATTTTACAGTATCAAATTCAGACATTAAAATAAATTGTGCAGACTCCAGGCTGGGATAATCTACCCTTTTAAGAATCACCAGGACGTTGGTATTTAAAAGGCTGTTTGCCATTGATGTACCAGTGCTACTCTCACAAAAGCTATTTATTTACATCAGAGGTGTTCATCAAAATAAGATATGACAATTACAGCATGATGATTCATTCTCTGTCTGCACTTGTGATTGTTCCTTGATTAGCAGGAAAGAGGTGCAGCTTGACTCTGATTCCTCTTATCTTCTTCCCTCAAACCTATTCAGTCAGGCTCTTGGTATTTCTACTTTGCATCATGTTCTGTACAGACCTAAAGCACGCTATTGATGATTTTGCATGGGTCATTGATGCTTTATTGGGGGGGGAGGGGGAAATTCATGAAGGAAAAAGGGCTGCAGCCATGTGAACTACCTGTTTCTGGTGCATTTCCTCTGGCGGAACGAAGAGGCATGACCGTCTATCCTTAACTGGATACCAACACTATAGCCCACCATCACGGCTGCCCTGTTAGGAATATTTGGTATTTGAAATCTTCTTCCAAAGCAAGGTCTTGAGATTATTCAACACAAGTGAGTGGTGCACTTCCATCTGGCTAGCCAGGCCACTAAGGGTCATACAGGTTCGTAGCTGCTTCTGCAGCTCTTCTTTCAAGTCAGACGGCGCTCCATACAGCAAGTAATCCTGCAGTAGCCCACAGACTTTTGCCAGGTTGGGCTGGACCAGGTCACCCTTGCACTGCTTCATGAGTTTGTCACAAGTCGCCATGCAGTCCTTCCCGTAGGTGCAGTCCACGTTCTGCTCACAGTGACGTCCCTTGAGGAAACCTCTGATTGTCATCTCTGTTGCCACCTTCCTCAGGTTGACCATTTTGAAGTCATACTTGTCGTTGTAGCCCACGTTCTTAAAGCTAGTTTCACAGATGTAGAAGTTCCCGTACGTCCCGTGGAATATCTCCTCCACAAACTCCAGAAGGCCGATGGCGATTTTTGCTCTCCTGGGCCAGGCTGGGGCAAACCACTGGTGAATAATCCGATGGATGGCTGAAGGCAGCATTGGCTGGAAGAAGTGAGGGACATTAGTACCGTAAAGGGAGTTGTGAGGGATCTTCTCCGTGACATACAGGTCCCCGCAGTGCCCCAGCAATTTGGAGGTGTGCTCTTTCTCATGCAAGGAGAGCATGAGCAGGAATTCGTTTAGATGAAGTAGAGCCCAGATGGATTTGGCCTCTGCCAGCGATACTTTCCCATCTCTGTTCACGTCTGCCAGGGTGATGATTTGGTTCACCAAGGCTGCAAGTGATGTCTGATCTCCTAGGTTAGCCTGCAAATCAATAAGAAATTGCATCAGCTCTTTAAATTTTACCCATTGTGTACATTAATTCAGGGCAAAGTATTAGGGTGCTGCTTTCTGAGGTAAAAGTGCTAGAACAACCCTGAGACGTGCGCTCTGCTGTAGCCAGCTGGTTACAGCCCTTCAGATTCTCCGAGTGATTTTGCTGCTGAGAGCTGCTCTAATGTGGGAAAAGCCCTCAAGGAGATAGACAGAGTGCAGGATGCTCTGGACACACCTTTGTGCCTGTCCACTACCCTTGGAGTTGCAGCCAATCTGGGATCAGAGTCACCAACCCCTTCTTCACGGGAAATCTATTGCAATTGAATCTATATTCTAATTAGATGTATTTACTCTTTTGTAAAGTCAGAATAAGAGGATGTCCTCTTAACACCCTGATTTAGGTTCACACATTATTGCTAGATTGCACAGGAACAGTTGAGAGTCACATTAAAACAGAACATCATTTATTTCCCCATGGCTTTGAAAGTCTGTGCTTGCAAGCTCCTACTTTTGCATTTTAACCTACTTGCTATCAGGAGGTGCAGCTAGACTAAATATTTGCAAATATGCAGTTCTAGGGGGAGAGAGAAACTAGCACGTTGGGATGAAAGCAGAAACATGTTTCTGAACATTTTGGGACTCTCTTCTGCAGAAAGTACGGCAGCAGTCTGTGGTGTTCTAATTAATCCGTGCAGTCTCTCTTTAAGAAAATTCCCTTTTTTATACCTCTTTAAAGATGATAGCTTAGAAAAGGAGTGAAAAGGAAGCCAGTGCTTGTCAGCTTCAAGAGGCCAGAAAACTTAATTTCAGGCGTGTCACATAAGATCACTAATTTCTCTTCCAGTAATGCAGGTTTTATCCCCGCCTCACTTGGAGGGAATTACCAACTGAGAAGTGGTTTGAGTATTCCTAACAGGATGACTTGAAGAGTAATCAAATAACATGGCCTTTAGGGCTCTAGATATGGTTTTATTGTTTCATCCACACCAGAGTGAAAAGTAGCAAGTGCTTAGCAGCACACAGCAGTGCTACCCAGCAGTTCTAGGCTTGGATGCGATGAATACCTCAGTCAAGTAGACACCACCTTTATACCTCCTTCAAATAGAATGGGATCTGAATTGGAATCTGGCTGGGTTACTGGGATTATAAACTCCTCCCTAGCAAAAGGGCACTGAGCTGCTTTAATAGTCATGAGTAGAGGTGGTCAGAAAAAAAGTAAAAGTTGCAAGAAGTAAAAGTTTTTACTTTGGGTTTTTTTATAATTTTTTTGATCAGTGTGGTTGTGGGGTGCATTTTAATTCAGCATTTTTAAAACATCATTTTTGAAAATGGGAAAAATGAACACTTTCAATGAAAATGTTCAAGAAAGCTAAATTCAAATTCAAACAGGGTATTTTAAAGACAAAGACTTATAAGTGCTTAGAACCTCTATATACATTCAAAATAGAATGATGCCCCAGTAGTGTCGCATTAAAACCAGTAATAGTCCTCTTAACTTCTATATAAACGCGCATGGGACATTGCCCAGGGCTCTGTATTGGCAATGCTGAGAGAAGAGCCAAAAAGGGCCTTTGACCCAGATCCTTAAATATATTTCGGCTCCTAACTTCCGTTGAAATCAATGGGAGGAAGCAGCCTGAGTCTCTTTCTGACTGACTGTAGAGGTTGGTCTTGCAAATAGAATTCCAAAATGAGATTGAAATGTACCCTCGCACCTAACACAGTGGTTTTGTTCGATATATATCCTTATCTAGGGGTTCCTACGGTATCTGCTCTGGGGATTATCTTGAATATGACATATCACACGAAGCCTCACTCTACAACAAACAGTGGGGATCAGAGTCCTTCTGACAGGACTGGATCTTTTCAAGGATTACAGAGGATAGAAGAATGCATTTAGCTTAGGCAAGCACTATTGCTGGTCCCAAGGCCTTCCAAACAGAGGTGATAATACCCTGTCCAGAAAAACACAATGCGAGAGCTTGAGAGCCTCAGCGACAC